GTGGACAGCTTCTGAATTTCTTAGATTGTTTGAAGTTACACATTGACACCTAAGGATGCCGGCTCAGTGGTTTAGTGGTCAAGCGCGCACACAAGACTGGTAGGTTTTGGGTTCGGATCTCGTGAGGTAGGGGCGGGAGTGTGCACTGATGAGTAGTCTCACAAAAGGACGGAACGGCCTTCCAGTGCTTTCAGGTTTTTCATGGTGGTCTAGCTTCAATCGGTTCATTATTTCAACTATAAAATCTTAAATTCACAGAATTTTTCGCACATTTTCTCAAATCACTCAACAAGCTGTTTATTTAAGCGTAAAAAGAAATATAATATAAGGAATTTCATATTCCATAAAAGTTTCCGTAATCGTTCACTACTGAAATACTTTTCTGGCGTTCTCAGTGCAGATTTTAAAAATCACTGAAATTGAATGTCTATCAAATTTATGACACAAAAACATATGGCATAAACAACTTAGACAGTTATTGTTGAAACTTACAGTGCCCTATTCAAATAGACAATCGGTTTCTTATTATGATAATTGTCTTCATAATGTGAACATGAAGTAGGACTCAAAGAATAAATGAAATGAATATTTCATCATTGAAGAGACCATGTAACAAACTTATGCACCCAATGGTAATTCCTCAATAATAGAATTCATTAACAAGTAGGAATAACAAACGTCTATGGATTTGTTATCAACACATGCTCATCATTGGATCTTATTATTCATGAATGTACTTGAAACCAAATAAATGTCGATAAAGATTGTCGATGTCATTAGGAATATTCAACATAAGTTGGCTTGAATTTCGGGATTCAACTTTCTAAAGGTTAGCAGTCAGTCTAATTATTTTCATCAGGGAAGAAGAATGTGGTTGTAAAACCTCAACGAATGAATTTGAAGGAAATCGAATGTTTCAACTGACAATCTCATCTAATCTTTTTCAAGGAAATATAATCAAACATCAAGATTATCGAATATATAGATAAGTACATGATGCTATAGTACTTATTTATGTTCGATAATATTGATGTTTGTTTATACTTTGTTAAGAAATCTTGAACCAGATTAGTAGGCAAAACGTTGAATTGACTTCAAATTCATCTGCGGAAACTTTACAAATACATTCTTCTTCTTCTCCTTATGTCTCACACCAACTCGGTGCCTAAATACTGTGAAACCATTTGATTGAACGGTCTAATGTATTCGATCAATGGGTTTAGCTTTCATGAATTCCATTTTGTAAGAATGTCAAGACTGATTCGATGTGAAAATTTCTATTTCATCTAGTTACATCGAAAAGGATAACAGTAAGGTTAAATTTGTCGAACTATTTGGAGGGAAGTTATCGTTTGTATCTTTAATTTATAATAAATGGACGTCAGTACTACTCAATGTGTTATTTTTCGATTTGGAAGCCTTCATCAACTTATTCAGCGTTGCGATGTTATCTGTTATTATTACAGATTTGTGATTAGTTAACTATTTCCCTTTTGTATCATCATCATATAAATTAAGGTAGAGTTATGCCTACACCGTACCTTTTTTATTTTTGTTCTGTACAATCAGGTACTTATATTATTTTGCTTTATGAGTTTTCAAATTTATATGAATAGACCAAAACTGAGAAAATATCTACTTGTCAGTATTCTCTTCTGTTCAAAATCTGGGTTTTTAATTATGTCAATGACCAATAGGCCTTAAAGCCTCGGTAGTTATTTACAGATCACTAGATCATCATCCATCCAGAAAATATGAACAAATAAATTTATATTCGAACCAGAAATTATAGTTGATTCCGTGTAAATGAACTTAGTGCTTGAGCGCTAATACAAGACAAAATTCTGTCCGACAATAAGATCATTCAGTAATCTTCAGCATATTACAAGGGTCAATATGGTGAAAGATTCGACAACAGGTGAGATCACCAAAATGAAGAAGTTTGTCGGAATAAACTTGGAGTCGAATAAAATAATTTAACTTTTTTCAACACAAGACGTTTAAGGAGAACTTACGAGAGTGCTAGATTTTTCAGCAACGTTTTCCTATAAGATTTTATTTAACAAATTCATCTGATGATTCATAAATGTTCAGGAAATAAAAGTATTATTGCTACAAAACAGATTTCTAATGTTAGGATTCATTGAACATTCGGAGGTTTAAATATCGAGGACTGATCATTACTATTAATGATACAATATGATATTGGTGGAAATTCAACTGAAATAAATTGCTGTATCAATATCAATAGTGCAGAGATAATTTACATCAAATGCCACTGGTTGTTATGAGTATTTGAGGTATACACCAGATCATGGATTATCCATCACCAAATTTATGTAAATTACTTAGATAAAAAGCAGGTAATTTTAATTGTGTGGACAATATCCCTTGATAACTGAGTTCAACCACAGATATTTTTTTGGTGATAATATGGTACTTGAACTGTTAACAGTAGTACAACATATTCGACAAAATTATTTCATGAACAAGTAGTGGATGATACGGTTACAACTGAGTGATGAATAGGTGTAACCATTTCAGCAATACATGGAGTTAGACGTCATATGAGTCTCTCTTTTGGAAATTCCGTATACGATAAATGTTATTGTCAACAAGAATCTGATAATTCACTGATGCGAACTGTCAACTTTTCATTGTTAGTATGTTATCAAAGGAATAATAAATGAAATACTATTCAGTTTATGAACAGTAAGTTACTAAAGATGCATTTGGACGAAAGGATTGCTGATGACTGAAGCCCCTAATATGTATGTCAACTAGCTTATACAGTTTTAGAAACCCTGACAAGGTAAACTGTAAATCGAGGTTTTAAAGAGAGTATGAAGATTAAAACCAATAGAGTGATTTTATAGTATCTTACGCAGTTGTTTGGGTTTTATTAATATTGGGACAAATGGTAATACTTTGTCTATTCGTTATAGTATACAATTAGAGTTATTCAAACTATTGCAACCTGTAGTTTCGTCATATATAATCTGCTTTCATTTTAATGTATTTCGATCAGTGATTGCGTAAGAACACTTGAAACCCATTGTCTCGTATCGGAATAGTAATAAACACCACCAAAATCATTTTTATCTCATTTGCGAAATTTTCATGTTTCCGACTCTCCAGACACCTGAGTTAGGGGTAGTACCCCCTATATAACATGGCGAGTAAGAGCAGGTGTAAATAGAAAAATTCAAATTTCCATGTACATGTACCATGTTATACATCATTCATAGCACTTCATTAGATAAGTAACATAAAGTGAACCACATTGAAAATATTAATCCATTCAAATGTTATGAACAATGAAATAATAGTTTCAAGACAAGTGATTCAGATGCCTCTTCAAATACTTTCATACTGTATGGTTGATCACAGTTAAACATTGTAGTTATATAATATACCCTTGTGGGTCAGGGTAATTTTACATTACTTTTCAAGAGGATCAGACACCATCCACACATTCATATGACAATGCAAACAGTACAGTTTAATCTCGTTTAATAGGAGAGACAGACATCGTCCTCAGACTGAACCCGAACAGTATAGCTCAATCCCGCCGCCCCTAGACAGGAGATCCAGACACTATACACGCTTCAACGCTACAATCTGAACAGCACAGCTCAATCCTGTGGCGTAAACACACAGGTACCAAGCACCCTGGTGGCCCATTCGCACCGTTCATATACACATTCACATCACATGTATCACATGTATTTCGATCAGTGATTGCGTAAGTACACTTGAAATCCATTGTCTGCTATCGGAATAGTAATACAACACCACCAAGATCATTTTTATCTCATTTGCGAAATTTTCATGTTTCCGACTCTCCAGACCCTGAGTTAGGGGTAGTACCCCTATATAACATGGCGAGTAAGAGCAGGTGTAAATAGTAAAATTCAAATTTCCATGTATATGTACATGTTATACATCATATAATAGCACTTCCTTAGATAAGTACTATAAAGTGAACCACATTGAAAAATATTAATCCATTCAAATGTTATGAACAATGAAATAATAATTTCGAGAAGTATATTAATCCATTCAAAAATCATGAATAATAAGATAATATTTTATTTGTTGATTTCTGACAAGTCATTCATATGCCTCTTGTATTATTTTCATATTCTGATAGCAGGTACGGTCTGAAAATCACGTCTCCGGCATTTGATCGTTGTTTCACAAAGACCTCGAAGTTATAGCATTGCTGCCACTATTCAGAAGTGCTGTATCGGAAACAACTCTTTGAGACCCACCATTGATGCTGAAGGTATTCGACCCCTTAAAAGCAAAATGGCGGCCATTCTTGATTGCCCAGAACCGACTACGATTAGTCAGTTGCGCAGTTTTAACGTCTTTTAATGGGTTAACCACTATTGGCAACCATAAGAATTTTTCTCGAGACGGTTGCTAGACACTGAATCTAGGTACAGCTCATTCGGTAGCGAACTCCTAGCTATATATTGTGCTGTTATAGCAACCATCCTACAATCAATTTCGATTATAGCCAATTTTGGTTAAGCCCTTTTTTATAACTTACTTAACAGACATTGTCATTAGGATAGTAACAATTTGCATATTCTTTGCACTGCTATACCACTAGAGCACATGACACTCTAGCCGAAATGTTGACTGCTTAAATATCATTCGATGACTCATACTCCTCCCCATATATGTACGCACACAAATATTATTATCAGCCTTTGTTTTGCTTTGCTGTGCCCTTATTAAATTTGACTATAAATTGCCTATGTAATTGCTTGCTACTCTCTCGCTCGCTCGCTTGCTCCTCGTTCATTTCCTTTGCTTGTTTGCCTGTTCACTCGCTCGTTCATATTCGCTCAGGTGTTGTTAACTTTCGAACCTGAGTCATTCGACAATAAACTGTAGTTGCTGCTATCCTTTGTCTTCTGATTTTACGCACCGTTAAGTTTAGAATTATAACGGTTATCGAAGTAAACGGTTAACGAATCGCGGCACTACAGAATTGGAGGCCTCGCCGAACAAGCACGACGCAATAGAATTGGATATCTCGCCGAACAAGCACGACGCAATAGAATTGGATATCTCGCCGAACAAGCACGACGCAATAGAATTGGATATCTCGCTGAACGAGCACGACGCAATATAATTGGTTGCCTCGCCATACGAACACGACACTACAGAATTGGATGCCTCGACGAGCGAACACAAAACAATTTTCGACGAGATAATTTCATTTCGAAAATTCAACGTACTCTGTTTCTATTCGAATTATTATCTGGATTATAATCATAATTGTGGATTTATTATATCACAATTTTAATCGTACGTACATTATCCCATTATTGAACTTAACGATAATATTCATAATAAATAACGATTATTCACGAACAATTGATATATTGGTGCAATTTAGTAAGTCTGTTCCATTTTATAAATTGTACCTTTTGTTATTATCATTTTTTTCATCGATTCATTTCTCTCAGTGACAATTACGTTATATTCGCATACTATTTAATTTATTATTATTATTAGTAGTAATGTCTTTAAATAACGAAACAATCGATCTTTCACAGTCACCATCCGTGGGAGTTATTAATGTTACTATTCCCTCTTTTAATGTTAATGATCCTCAACTCTGGTTTATTAGACTTGAAAATTACTTCGTAGCCAATCGTATTCTTTTACAGCGACATAAGTTCGGCTATGCAAGCTCACTACTTCCAGATGAAGTAGCAGTCAAGGTACGAGAGGTCCTAACTAAGCCGGATGCGGTAAATCCGTACGACGTATTGAAACAGGCCGTAATAAAAGCTCTCTCGTTAAACGACCGGCAGGCTGTCGAGCAGTTGCTCAGTGAAGTTCAAATCGGAGATAGAACGCCTTCGCAGTTAAAAACGTATATGAGCAACGTAATTGGAGACAGAAATGTGGATAAAAATATATTTTACCACTTATGGTTGCGACGACTCCCACCGAACGTACAGCAGATCCTCGCTGTTGGAGATAGCGATGTAGACATAGACAATATCGCTAAAATAGCCGATAAGATTTACGAGAGAATGAGAAATGCGACTTCACAAACACTCAACTTCACAGTTGACGAAAGAATCGAGGCCTTGCAAAAGGAAATTAATGCGCTATGCCATAAACTAACGAGTCTAAATCACAACGACAGGAAAAGAAGTTGGTCGCGCAGCAGATCAAGAGATAGAAACCGATCATTTTCTAAGGGACTACCAGATCCTGCTATATGCTGGTACCATCAAACATTTGGGTACAGAGCTCGAAAATGCAGGTCTCCATGCAAATTTAAACGATCCCAACGATTCTCAGTAACGACTACGAAAATCAACGCAGCTCCCACGAGCAATCGTTTATTCTATGTTCAGGACAGAGTAACGGGCGCGCAGTTTTTAGTAGACACGGGAGCAGAGATAAGCGTCGTCCCTCCATTGAGCAACGAAAAACAAAATATCGATACTGCGCTAACTCTTAAAGCAGCGAATAGATCCGATATAAAGACATATGGCAAGCGAAAACTAACCTTGAATTTCGGCCGTAATATTTCACTTCGCTGGGAATTTGTGATCGCTGATGTGTCCGTACCCATAATTGGTATCGATTTCTTAAAGAATTTTGACCTATTAGTGGATTCTCGACGAAACCAACTAGTGAATGGAGAACGCTCAGTAGTCATAAGAGGAGTGACCACTGATCATGTATCTATGAATTTAGTAGTGTCGAAAGATAGGAACGAGCAATATAAGTCACTTCTAAATAAGTTCGCCGACTTAACGAGGTCATCATACGACAACAAAGATCTTAAACATACAGTACAGCATTATATCGTCACGAAAGGTCCACCGACTAGAGTAAGAGCGCGAAGGTTGGACCCAAAAAGGTTAAACATTGCAAAACGAGAATTCGAAAAACTAATGAAACTTGGTATCATAAGGCCATCTAATAGTCCCTGGGCATCTCCGTTACATATGGTTCCCAAAAAGAATGGAGAAATTAGACCATGTGGGGATTATAGAGCTCTTAACAAGCAAACGATAGCAGATAGATACCCAGTGCCACATATTCACGACATCACTACCGAAATGGAAGGTGCTACGATTTTTTCGAAAATTGATCTTGTTCGGGCGTACTACCACATTCCAGTGGCCCCAGAAGACATACCGAAAACGGCCGTAATCACTCCATTTGGTTTATTTGAGTTTTTGCGAATGCCATTTGGACTAACTAATGCAGCTCAAACCTTTCAGCGATTTATTGATCAGGTTGTTAGAGGTTTGACAGGGGTATACGCATATATCGACGATATATTAGTAGCTAGCGCTACCGTCGAAGAACATCTACAACATCTACGACAGTTATTCACGAGACTTCAAGAACATGGTGTCACTATTAACGTGGAGAAATGTGAATTTGGAAAGAAATCATTGCAATTCCTAGGTCATATGATAAATTCTCGAGGTATTATGCCAGTTCCAGCAGAAGTTGCTGCTATTCGCAATTATCCGTTGCCCGAGTCACAAAAAAAGTTACGACGATTCTTGGGACTAATAAACTACTATAGGCGATTTATTCCAAACTGCGCAGCAATACTACAGCCATTAACGGACGCTTTGCGAGGAAATACCCGAACATTCCATCTATCGACAGAGGCCATACAGGCTTTTGAGAACGCTAAGCGAGCACTTCATGAGAAAATGATATTAGTTCGACGAAAGAGCGAAGCGCCACTAGCCATCATGACGGACGCATCGAACATAGCAGTAGGAGCTGTACTGCAGCAGTTAGTAAACGGTACATGGGAACCGATTTCATTTTTCTCGAGGAGATTAAACCCTACACAAACGAGGTACAGTACGTTCGGAAGAGAACTATTAGCGATTTACTTGGCAATCAAACATTTCCGACACATGATAGAGGGTACCATTTTTACAGTGTATACAGACCATAAACCCCTCACGAAAGCATTAAACGCCAAGCAGGATAACTATTCGCCGAGGGAAATTCGACAATTAGAATTTATTTCCCAATTTACTTCTAGCATACAGTATATTGAAGGTAATAATAACGAAGTGGCAGATGCGTTGTCCAGAACAACGATAAACGCGATTATTACAAATGGAATTGATTATCACGGTCTCGCGAAGTTACAAGAGATAGACATCGAACTAAACAAGCTAAGATTCGATGACACGACGTCATTATCATTCGAAGATATTCAGTTCGGCAACGCGAAAGTAATATGTGACATGTCAACTGGCCGACCTCGCCCATTCATTCCTAAACCATTGCGACGGAAAGTATTCGAAAGTATCCATAACCTATCGCACCCGGGAATAAAAGCCACGATGAAATTAATCAGTGAGCGTTTCGTATGGACGAAAATGAATCGCGATATACGAAATTGGACGCAAGCATGCATGAAATGTCAAAAAGCCAAAGTACATCGTCATACTAGTTCGCCAATGGGTTCATTTTCACAGCCAGACACTCGATTCGAACATATACACATCGATATCGTGGGACCACTGCCAGTTTCGAACGGGTACAACTATATTTTTACATGCATCGATAGATTTACCCGATGGCCTGTAGCGGTACCAATAAAAGACACCTCAGCCGAATCTGTAGCAAAAGCCCTAATCGAGAATTGGATTTCTTACTATGGTATACCGGCAATTATCACGACCGATAGAGGAGCTCAATTCGAAAGTCGACTCTTCCAGCAGCTTACAGAACTCCTCGGAATTAAACGTATACGAACGACATCCTACCATCCAATGGCAAACGGAATGGTTGAACGCCTACATAGGCAGTTGAAAGCATCCCTTACATCTGTCATTGTCAATAACGATTGGGCTAATAAGCTTCCTTTAGTCATGTTAGGTTTAAGAACAATAATTAAACAGGACATGGGATGTTGTCCAGCCGAGTTGGTATATGGAACTACTTTACGTTTACCCGGAGAATTTTTCGCTTCAGGTAAAAGTGTTCCGACTGATGTAGCCAACTACGTCCAACGCCTGAAGAAACACATGAGCGATTTAAAAATAGCACTTCCCAGACTACAACAACGTCGAGTATTCGTACCTCAGCAACTACATAATAGCACGCACGTATTTATCAGAAGAGACAACGTACAACCACCTCTGCAGCCGAACTATGAAGGTCCATTTAAAGTGATTACGAAGACAGATAAGACAGTCACGGTAGAAAAAGCTGGGAAGACAGACGTAATCAGTATCGATCGTGTGAAGCCAGCTTTCATCGATAGCGATTTTCAATCGACAAGCACAAGCCTCTCGGAGACGATCACACCTACGAAACACGAATCTCAGGAGTCAACGACGCTAACGCACCAAAACGAAGAGACTCCGATAACGACAAAATCTGGTCGCAGAGTAAGATGGCCGCAACGTTATGTCGCTACAATCTTTTACTGATAATTTTCTGCTACTTTGATTATTAATTATAATTCTTCCTCTTCATTGTATACATATGGATTATTAAATTCATGCTATACGCTATTAAACTTGGCACAGCTTATGTACACCCTTATGCTCATACGTGTAGTTTTTTTTTCGAAGCGATACCATATCCCTTCTATTTCTTACAGCTATTTTGTATAGCCTAACGGACGGGCACGAACTAAATACACACTAACTTCATTCTAATTTTATACAGGCCCATATCTTCAAATGATTGTAACTACGCTATCCAATTTACTGTACATTATGCAAACACAGACATTTTTTCATATATCTTTGTTTGCAGGGGGGAGTAATATAGCAACCATCCTACAATCAATTTCGATTATAGCCAATTTTGGTTAAGCCCTTTTTTATAACTTACTTAACAGACATTGTCATTAGGATAGTAACAATTTGCATATTCTTTGCACTGCTATACCACTAGAGCACATGACACTCTAGCCGAAATGTTGACTGCTTAAATATCATTCGATGACTCATACTCCTCCCCATATATGTACGCACACAAATATTATTATCAGCCTTTGTTTTGCTTTGCTGTGCCCTTATTAAATTTGACTATAAATTGCCTATGTAATTGCTTGCTACTCTCTCGCTCGCTCGCTTGCTCCTCGTTCATTTCCTTTGCTTGTTTGCCTGTTCACTCGCTCGTTCATATTCGCTCAGGTGTTGTTAACTTTCGAACCTGAGTCATTCGACAATAAACTGTAGTTGCTGCTATCCTTTGTCTTCTGATTTTACGCACCGTTAAGTTTAGAATTATAACGGTTATCGAAGTAAACGGTTAACGAATCGCGGCACTACACTGTACGGCATTTCCAACATTCTGTTGAGTCGACTTACAGAGAACTCCAAAAGAACCTATAGAAGCTCATATAGAACCCCAGTCAATCAGAATTTGATGGAACATTCTAGAGTTCCAACGTGGCGTGATACTATTGGTCGGTATCATAATATTTCGTTAATGGATTGGCTAACATCTATAAATACCTATGATTTTCTGTAACAAGATTGAACCATGCAGTAAAGTGTTTCTCTGATACTCGTGTCTTTTCTCTAATGTTCAAGTCGCTGAGTAGTGCTAGCCCCGAGGTTATCGAAATAGCTTAGGATCTGAATAAAGCGTTCAACATACAAGACATATCAGTGGCGACGGGAAAATGACAATGAATATTTCTCTGGATCAATTAGAAGCCAATATGGTGCGTCAAGAAAAGAGGTTTGAAGAGTCTCAAATCAGAATCATGGAAACCCTGATGCAAAAATTCTGCCTGTAGGAGAAAAACCCTGCTTCTAGTGAATCACAAGTATCACATACTGATTAAGTCATTAACGCCATACATGAATTTAGTTTTGATGGTGTAGCAGGTATATTATATGAGTCGTGGTTCAAGAAGTACGAAGAATTGTTTATATTGATCTTCGCAACCTGGATGACGCTTTGAAAGTCAGAATACTTCTGAGAAAACTTGGGATTGTGGAACATGAATGCTACAGCAACTTCATGCTTCCGAAGAACCCACGAGATTTTAGTTTTGATGAAACAGTCAAAACCCTGTCCCAAATCTTCAGAGAACAATCATCTCTATTTAATATCCGTTATCGGTGCTTCAAGTTAACGAGAGAACCAGGAGATGGTTGGGTGAAACATGCAGGAACTGTGAACCATGAATTTGAGAGGTTCAAATTTTCGTCCATGTCTGAGGATCAGTTTAAATGCTAAGTATTTATCTTCATCCTGCGTTCACCTGATGATGCTGATATCCGAACCAGAATCTTAAGTAAACTTGAACACTGCCCCAACATGACCTTACAGGAAACAACTACCGAGTGCCAAAGTTTAGTGAACTTGAAGCACAATACCTCAATAGTAGAAAACGGTAACTGTTTCCATAATATCAATGCAGTCGAGAGAAAATCTTTTCAAGGTTCCAGCACACCTAATTATCGAAATAACGGGGACAAACCATCATCTCCATGCTGAGCATGTGGAGGCTGGCACTATAAGAGGTTTTGCCCGTATA